AGTAATACAAATGGCTACCTCCTGAAAAGGCTAAAAGCAATGTTAAATAAATGTTTGGCGCTCTGAGCTTAGTTATCAGGAAGAGGAAGTTGCATAAAACCACCTAGACAGTGGGTGCATATAGATATACACTCCTATATGACTTCTGCTCAGACTCAGAGAACGATTTAGTTCAAAAGAAAAGTCTCTTGGAGGTTTATATGAAACCGTGCGCACCTGGCAGCACCAAGAGGGAAATTTTCATAAGGACAACAAAAATAATCAGCCACAACAAACGTTTAAGATCCAGCATGTGACTACATCTTATTTACAAGAAAATGAATTTAAAGGGTTAGTTCACCCAAAAATGAAAATTAAGTCATTAATTACTCACCCCCATGCTGTTCCAACCCCGTAAGACCTTCGTTCATCTTCGGAACACAAATAAAGATATTTTTGATTGAATCTGAGAGCTGTATCAGTCCTAGATAGACTGCCTAAGGGACTGGCTCTTGACGGCCCATAAAGTCATTAAAGAAAAGGTTTAAATATTCCATGTGCCTACAGCGGCTCAATTATAAGTTTATCAAGCGACGAGACTACTTTTTGTGCGAAAAAAACATAAATAACGACTTAATTCCACTATTCCATTACTTCCTTATGGGCGCATGCGCGAGAACTGAGACGAGGACGTTCTCATTCGTCTACTTCTTGTTACCGGCTGCTCACCGCTTAGGAGTTTTACCGCCACCTACCGTATAAGATGATGTGCTGATATAGCTGGAAGCACAAAACTTTCTGTTTACAAGCAGAGGAAGATGCGCGCTGTGCACTTAAAAGCCTTAAATCTTCTCAAAAAACGACAGTGTTCCTTATAATCCGGAGCGCCTTATATATGGATCATCATTTTATACGGTAGGGGGCGGTAAAACTCCTAAGCGGTGAGCAGCCGGTAACAAAAAGTAGACGAATGAGAACGTCCTCGTCTCAGTTCTCGCGCATGCGCCCATAAGGAAGTAATGGAATAGTGGAATAAAGTCGTTATTTATGTTTTTTTCGCACAAAAAGTAGTCTCGTCGCTTGATAAACTTATAATTGAGCCGCTGTAGGCACATGGAATATTTAAACCTTTTCTTTAATGACTTTATGGGCCGTCAAGAGCCAGTCCCTTAGGCAGTCTATGTAGGACTGATCTAGCTCTCAGATTCAATCAAAAATATCTTTGTGTTCCGAAGATGAACGAAGGTCTTACGGGGTTGGAACAGCATGGGGGTGAGTAATTAATGACTTAATTTTCATTTTTGGGTGAACTAACCCTTTAAGCTTACAATATATATTACAGAAAAAAAAAAGGCAAATCACAACAATCCCAATGAATTTAAACCACAATCTTGGCCGGCAGCAAACAGCAGCAATAAAGCCATCATCAGTGTGTAAATGATTAAGACATGCCATTTTTGATATCAGCGAATAAATCAGTTTCTTTTTATTCAAGTCACTTAATGGCAGGCACAGATAGTTATGCTAGAGACTTTGGCAGCATGCCTTACAACACGATTAATTAATATCTGTATCAAACATAATCGGAAACACAGATGCTTTGTAATTATTTTGGCCATGCCCCAGCTGTTTCAGAACAGGGACCATCTGTCAGCCTTTGACATGCTCGGTGTAATGCCAGAGGACAGGTTTACTTGTAGCTCGATGTGAGTTTTTACTTGAGTAATGGGTTTTATTCGTTAAAGTGTGCCAGAGTTCAGTTTGGAAAGGCTCCAGCTGTGACGGCCGATAAAGACATTGGCGGATTTTTTTTTCTTTTCTGACAGGGTCCAGATTATCACTTTCCCTCAGGCACATTCCTCACTGCCCCCACCCACCTGCCCAAAATAAACCACAGGCCTTAACCCTTTCCACACATACTCTCGCTCTCAAACACTAGTTTCCAAACAAACTAGTGTAAGGCAACAGGCAATTATGTATAAAACCATATGCGTGTTGTTGTAGTAACTGGGTGTATCATCCAGTTTCGGCATTCTCATATTCAGAATGGGGGCGGGGTGTAAAGTATATATTATACAACCATTCAAATGCCACCCAATCATTGTGTAACATCTCAACGTACAGAGAGTCCTGCTTGTCTTGATTACGCAACTGCCCACGTTTTCTGGCAACGACTTGATATGAAGATCAAGCTTCGAACTGAATGCTAAAACCCAGATAGCATTTCTGTCGCCCGTCAACCAACTGTTGTAAACACCTGCAAACGCTTCACTCAGCACATCACATGCCCAGCATACACAAATCACATGATCTTGTTCTCAAGAAGGGTACAAAATGTCCAAATCATACATGAGCATTAAAAAAAACAACCTACACTGCTCCTAAACTGGAAATCTGTGTTTAAAAAATTCCCTCAAGAAAGGTACAAACGGTCACAGCACGTTTGGAGCAAATGATGAGTGTATGAAACAGTCATAATGGGAAAGCATTATTGCTACAGCATGGTACATATTCACAATAGAGCTAATGAATGATGCCTTTCAGTTCCATAAAAACATGAACATAAATGGCAAATGTTTAAAGACATTAACAATAAATAAGAATAAAATTAAACTTGGTGACAAATTAGTTTTTCTAAGATTTTTTTTCCCAACTTTATTAGATAGTATAGAGAAGAGTGGACAGGAAGCAAAGTGGGCCAGGATCAAAAAGGATTGGCTATGACTCAAAGGGATAGTTCACCCAAAAGTAAAAATTCGGTCATTGACTACGTTTACATGCAGCCAATTTTCGGGTTATGGTCGGGTTAAGGTCACTATTCGGGTTTCTGAAACATTAGGAATAACCCGTTTACATGCGTGAGCAGAGAGAGTTTCACCTGTATACATGGAATTGCAATATCCCGATTTAAACGGCGTCTGGACGTACAGACAACCGTAGACGCAATATGCGTCATTTACGATTCTTCTTCCTGTATCCAAAGAAATCAACAACAGCAGTACGCGGATAATGAATAGTTCGGGGCAGAAAGCGATCATCTTTGTTTGTGCTTTGATGCTGGTAACGTTACTGAGCTCGCTCCAAAAGTATGCTGTGCTGTGTCTCGCCATGTTTACTTCCGGTATACTGCACGCGGATTTTTGTATGCGCCGAGAAGTTTCTCTACTCAAAAGACCAAGATTCCTTGCGAATAAACATGCGCAGAACACAAATCACTATGGGGATATGCCGATACGCGTTTACATGACCAACAATTCGGGTTAGAAAAGGGGTACTCCAGGTATAATATCCCGGTTTTTAAAATCCGGGATATGAGCATATTCGGGTTTTTGCCGGTGTGGCCGTTCGCAACCGGGTTATAGCTAATATCCCGGTTTTGAACAGGTTATTGGCTGCATGTAAACATGATTACATGATTGCTCGCCCTCATGTCAGGTGTTAAGTGAATGTGTGTCTGAGATTAATTATTTTGTAAATAAAGTGGTAAATTATGTCTCGTTTGCCCAAAAAGTCCCAGAAAGGTAGTAAAGACAAAAAAAAAAAAAAAACAACACTCGCATTGCTTCATAAAACTAAGGTTAAACCACTGGAGTCACATGGATTATTTTTTTGTTGTCTTTACTACCTTTTTGGGCAAACTAACCCTTTAATTGAGACAACGTTTCAATATATCAGGGATGGCTTAGCATGATTTAAAAACCATATTAAATAGTTTCAAGAGCATTTAAATATGGCTTGCAGTGTGTAACATGTGGCTGACTAATAGGAGTCACTGTCATTGACAGCTGCTTAGGATGAAGGCTCTTTATTGGCTTAAAGCACAGAGTAACAAATAATAATTCGTTACATTTATATAGCACTTTTCTGGGTATTCAAAGTGCTCTACATGGGGGAAATCTCCTCAACCACCACCAATGTGCAGCATTCATTTGGTTGGATGATGTGACGGCAGCCATACTACACCAGAACGCCCACCACACACTGGTGGAGAGGAGACCAATGAGGGATGAAGCCAATCAGTATATGGGGATAATTAGGAGGCCATGATGGACAGAGCCCAAGGGCCAAATTTGGCCAGGATGCCAGGGTTATACCCATACTCTTTTTCAAAGTATTTTTCTGGATTATTTTTAATGACCACAGAGAGTCAGGACCTCGGTTTAACGTCCCATCCAGAACTTTTCTTGTTTGCAGGAACTAATTTAAAGGGCGAGTCCTTCACCGATCAAAGTTCATTTTGACAAACCACAAATACGATGCGTGAGATTCTGCATGATCCAACGTTTGCCTTTATGTTCTGAGATAATCAGTAATTATGTCTTGAACCCATTTCATTTTTAGGTCACAATTTGACATCATAAGCCACAGTCTGCACTTACAGGCTAAACCACAGCTAATCTATGCGACAGATAACGTGTGTGACTCTTTGATACATGGTTCAGGTTTAACAAATGCATGTAATAAAATAACTTTCAACAAAGTGGCTTTTGAGAAAATGAATATCAGTAGCTACAGTCGATCTTGTAATGAACACATCTAGTTTGCGATTAGTTGTGTAAAAAGTACACAAACATGATTCAAAATGTCTCTGGCTGTATATTGCTTCTGGAGTTCTGATTTCATACCTTAAAATCCCAAAATATCACACTCAGCATAGACCTTTGCAGCTTCAGTGAGGCCTTTTTGGATAAATTAGTCACGTCATTTTCTCAAGGACTGTACCCTGTCGTTGCTTGCAAATATTTATTGGATATACTGTTTAACTTAAACAAACTTCCCTGAGGAAGACCATAACATTGGTATTTCAAAACGTGTTTTTAACATACGTTTCCATTCCAGATAAATATTTGCACATTATGACAGTGAACGTAGCAAATACTATTATTTACACTGCATTTATCCTACACACCTGCAACCGTCCAGGTGTGCGAGGAGTGTTTTAGTTAGCATTTCCTCTAGAGTCTAGACTAACATAATTGTGGCAAGACCTGTTTCAAGTAAAATATACCCATAGCACCCACCTGTCTGAACTGCTCTTCATAGGTCCAGTCTGCATGGTCCTGCCCATGGAGTGGCCCATGGGATGAATGAGCGGAGTGAGCCAATGCTCGTGGTTCGGTTTCTGAAGCAGGCCGAGCCTTTAGCAGCTGGGAGTGAGGGTGTAAATGGCGGTGGGGTAAGAGGAGGATGCCTCTGCCTGGGGTAACGGCCTCACGGCCTGATGGCAGCCCTTCGTCACCTAGATCGTCATCATAGTCTTCATCCATTTCACCCTCAAAGTCATCTTCATCCCATTTGTGTTTTCTGAAACACATTAGAAGGTGAAATGTTAAAAAGAGGCAACACATGAGAGATGGTTATAAATTCAGGCAACTCATTAATCTAAGGAAACATTGCTATGGGTTCAATGTTCTCCAAATGCACTCCATCAAAATTGTTGTGAGAACATAATTTACAGAGAGCTACACATTAAATATATAGTAGGTGCAAGTAGATGTGTACATTGTCTGAAGATATGAGGATATGTTTAATATGATTAAAACCAGTCTGTCGTCTCAATCTGTAAGCTCAGAATAGATTTAAATTATTTTATTTCCCTCGACCTGACCGACTATCGGTCAAATGTTTGGAATAATTCAAGTTATGTTTTTGAGAGAAATCTCCTTTGATTAAAAATACATTAAAACAGTAATATTGTGAAATATTATAACAATTCAATTTAATTGTAATATTTTCACATGCAAGTTATTCCTGTGATGCAAAGCTGAAGTTTCAGCATCTTTACTCATTGTATTCACGACATGATCTTTCAGAAATCATTCTTGATTCTTTTTTCTTCTTAAAAAAAAAAAAATCCTACTTACCCCAAACTTTTGAATAGTACTATTAGTTTCCACAAAATATGAAACAGCACAAATGTTTTCAGCATGAATAAAAATAAGAAATGTGGCTTGAGCATCAAATCAGCATATTAAAATGATTTCTGAAGGATCATGTGACACTGAAGACTGGTGTAAAGGAATAAATCACCACAGGAATAAATTACAATAAAGAAGTTCTTTTAAATTGTAATAATTTGCAATATTAATGTTTTTACTACATTTTAAATCAAATAAATACAGCCTTGAGCAAAAAAAATACTTAAACAACATAAAAAATACATTATCATTAAACTTTTGATTGTTAATGTAATGTAAACAACCAGCTCAAGCAGCAACCAAAAACTCACTTGCATTCATTTGCATGTGACTGCCCACTTACATCTGCTCTTCCTCCTCAGACCCCATCATATCTTTGTATGGCTCGTCCACTTCCTCTTCATCCTCCTCTTCATCATCTACATCTCCTCCACTGCTGTGTTCAGACATGGGGCTGTCGGCCCTCTGAAGTCCAGCTGCTACTGCGCGCATCGCTGCTAGCGCCGCCATCTGCGCCTGCTCTGTGTCAGAGGCAGAGATTGCTTTAAGCTCCTCCCCCATAGGGGGAGGGCTGCGTGATTGCCCCGCCTGCTCCATCAGCAGTTTGGCTCTCTGCTGTCTGTGCAGGTTCTCCATCACCGCCTGCAGCTTCATTGCCTGAGAAACAGGACAAGCTGGGATTCTGGCCCCCACACTCCAAAACAGGCGGGACCACTTTTTATAACTTGATCCAGAGGCAGGGCTTCAAGAAACAAGAAGAGTTGGTTTCTCTACTCGACGGACACCTGCAGACAGCTAAGGGGAAGATGATCCCCCACACAGGGGCCTACCTGAGAGAGAAAATAACAGAAAAAAATACATATTTAAAAAAAATCTTTTGACAATTTTTGATATATGACAATATTTATGTCTTTGCTCTGAGGAAAAACAACACGGCACATTTATTTATTGATTGATTTGATAAGTGGAACAGTGCAGCATATTCAAAGATTTCCGAAGGCACACATCAGCTAGTCTTTAAACACAAGGATTTTGATATCCATTCAAGTCGTTAGTAGTAATGACATATGATACATGCATAATGACGTACATTTCAGACTGTTCAAACAATGTCATACGGGTTACATTTATAAAAGGTTTATCGTCTTTGTTTCACTGGAGAATAAAAAATAAATAAAAGAATAGAAGTAATATTTAAACAATATGAGAATGTGAAGATTCCTGTAGTGCAAGAATAAAAACACTGTTTCTGCTCACTGTTTTTTTTACAAATAAAGACCGTAACCGTAAACATATCACTAACATTTATTAATAGTAATAAAGAGCAATATTTAAAACTTTTTACATGAAAAACTGCACTCATTTCGGTGAATATTTTTTAGTGATTACACAAAAACAAATAGTAGAATCAGAATTTTAACTGATACAATGATCGTACAGCATTTGAAGGGGAAATCAAATAGTCTAACATTGTAACAAGTGTAAATCAGAAATACCGTCTTCAGACTTTTTTTGACACAAGAAGGGACTATGAAACACACAGCCTATTCACAACCATTTTCAGGCTAATTTATCTTGTCCTACAAGGAAATCATCTCTCCACACATTTGCATTTCACTATTTGCCATCAATCATAACCACACCTTAGTCGATTCACTGCACTTCATAAAAAATAAAATTAAAAAACAATTCACCATGACAGTGTCAACATGCCATGTGATGCTTTGTTGATTATATAGGGAGAGTTCAAGTTTCATATTAAGGCGCTCTTTGTGTAACCAACTTGATACTGGACGTTAAATTTAAAATGTGTCTAAATGTGTTTTTTTTTTTTTCCATCCATTCATTTTTATATACCCGCAAATCTTAAATCATCTCAAATCCTTTTTCTTTTGTCTTGTCCATATTGCAGGTCACACAAGCAGATTTGAGCTTCCGCGAAGAACCAATGAGGTTTGTTCTTGTACGTCACACAAGTACGATTGAGCTTCCGTTGACCATTGTTTATATGTGAATAAAAGCCTAAATTAACTCGGCCCATCATATAAAGTGTCTCAGCATTTAGTTAAAATGCTTAATTGATTAAAAAAATAAAATTTTATTCTGCATTAATAAACTTGTACTTTCAATAGAGGGACAGATATTGCTGGTCTTTCATTTATTTCTCCATTTGTGTTTTGAAGATGAATGAAAGTCCAGTGAGGATGAGTAATTGATAACAGTTTTCACATTTGAGTGAACTATATGAAATTTAGTTAAGGGGAGAGAATTCAGATGGACAGGATTTTGAAGAACTCTGGAGGTTTATGGGTTAACCCACAGAAATGGATGTTGGGCACTGGCGATTGTGAAGTCTGAGCAAACACAGTGGAGATTAAGGCAGCACTAAGGGTCTAATTCCACACTGATAATGAGTGTCAAGTTGGCCAAGATCCAGATTCACCATAGGGGTCTGAAATCCATGTATTTACACCATACATTTAAGATATCATATTCTAATCAGCCAGGAGTAAGAAATAGATAAGTCATGATGAAGATGGACAGAGAATAATGATTATGGGTTTTTCTTTTAGGCATGTAACAGAGTAAAAAAGTTCTTCAAACAGATAAAGACAAACAAGTTTAAAAGGTTAACACTTTAATATCTCTAATACCTGCATAGACAAACTCAGTCTGTTCTATACGTGCATAGCGAAGTAATGGAAATGAAACCGAGATGTTCTGGTATGGTGACATTCTTTACTCTAGCATTGAGATCTCAGGATTATTAGAAACATCAGATCAGTTTTGGAGAAGCCACATTAAAACTGCCGCTTGTCAAGCTACAAGTTTCTCATAATATGAAATGGATTCCATTTCCTTTCTAAACAAAATGTAATATGGTTTTCTCTGAAATGAATTTCCTTGTACGTTGATGTCACTTAACCAATAACCAAATGACCATTTTAACAAAACTAACCATCCAGGTTTAATATGAATGTAACAATTTGGTTTTTAAGAAACAGAACACAGAAACCAACACTACTATGTAATTTCAGACCAGTGTCAAAATTTCAAATTTCTCATGTGTACTAAGAACGAGGCACCTGTTAATCACACAAATCAAACTGATTATGATGACTGATCAGTTGTCACACTGCAGTAAATGAAGAAAAGCACTGTGCTTTCTAAATGCCTATAGTGGAATCTTAAAGGAGATTTGTGTGTGTGTGCGCGACTGCACGCGCATCACAGATCATTAAATTATGCCTAATGGGTCAAGCTCAATACTCAAGTAGATAGGACATTTATTTACACAGATGAAAATCTTTGATTGTTTTATGATTTACTAATCTTACAAATAGTTTATTCTAACTCTTCTCACTTTTTAAATGCGTCTTGCCTAGATCAACTTATAAGCTCAGGTGACAATAGTTCATTTTGCTTGATAACCTGTACCGGTTCCAAAATCTACCAACAACGTTGTCAAAGGAGAATAAACGTTTTCTCCAGTGGTTGATCAATGGGGTTCTCTTTTAAATTACTGATGATGCAAACAAAACTAGACTGCAGGGTGACCAATAATGCCAAAATATATGGCATTATTTACACAATATAAATTTGGAAACTTGATTCACTACAACATAAAACAGAAACTGACTGTGGACTGACTTGACATTTCAGTTTATCAACCATGTGGATGTGATTGACTACCTAAAAATATAAAATAGTACCTACTTTTTTAATTAATGAACAAATTAGTATTTAAAACTTAACAACCTTCTTATCCAAAACCCTAAAATGTTAACCTTCTTATCCAAAATATAAAACGATGGGGTTTCAAAAGATGTAATTAAAGTGTTTTTTTTTTTTTTGAGCTTGTGTTGGGCAATGGAAAAACCCTTTACATAAAATTACAGCAAGAGATCCTGGGCTTCAACCTCAAGCATCGGTTTGATGTCTCTTGAAATGGTATTTTTCAATGTTTCAGGGAAGGTGAGCCATCTCTTCAGCGGTTCCCATGACGATGGCGTGTGTAAGGGCTGCGGGCAAATCTGAGGTCAAAAGCGTGGGCCTCCATATACATGAGATTTCCTTCCTCAGAACAGTAAGAGAACAGAAGTGCACATGATTTCACATTATTCGTCCTGTATTCTTCAGGATATTGTGCCATTGAGAAGACTTGACACACAACAGAAAATTCACAGAAAAATTAAGAAGAGAACAACTTTTTCCCTTATAAAATAAGGAAATGTTATGTACCAACGCACTAGTGCTCCTAGAAAATTTGGTTAAAAAAAACATAAGCAAATATAAGTGAATATAAAAGCAATGGGCATGTTTAATAGTGAATGTGCAAATTGTCTAAAAACAACATATTCAACACCTTTTTCTCTTCAAGAACAGGATGTAACATAACATGCCTTAAATTTACATCCTCAAAAGGCGCCAATATGATGCAAGAAACCCAATTTGTCTATTTCACATAATAGTAAATAAAGAACTGAAAACGTGTATTATTCAACACAGCTTGATGAAGTCTAGATTGGAAAACACATAGCAAATGCACTCTGCTGATGTAGAAAACAGAAGGGTACATTTGGTGTTCCTGAGAGCATTACCTCAAGCAAGGCACACGTTTTCCATGCTGCTAAGCAGGGGCAATTCTGGTATGATTTAAAAATATAATATATTGTTTGTATACTAGGGTAGGCAAGCCATAAGCAATACAGTAGGTTCACTACTTATCAAATACATCCCGGAATATTTAATTAAATTCGAATCATTTTCTCTAATCACTAATTTTAATAGTTTCAGAACTGAAAACGTCTTTGTTAGTCCAATAAAAGCTTTTATTGACACCAGGCTCAGCAAACGACTCGTTTTTCAAAGTGGGGAACTATGACATCAAAGAGGATAACATCACCCCCACAGAAGAAGATCAACACATACTTCGCCCACCGATTCGCGCATACCTAAATAACATAGGCCTACCTCATGATGACAATCCGGATCGAGATACCGAGCAATACCGATTATTGTGCAGTGCCTGGTTGTGGAAGACAGTCGCTGCATATGCTTCCTCTAGAATCCAATAGGACTGCATGGTTAAACTCTATTTTTAATGACATTCCACTCCAGCTGATGAGGATAAAACATCGTCCGTCTGTTCGCTCCATTTTACTGAGGATTGTTTTGTAAACAGGACTGGATCTGCAGAGCGATTAAGATTAAGAACGGTACTGTGCTGACTATAATGGATACGACAGGAATGGTGCAACACACAAACTCTGGGTCGAACATGCATGTATGCGGGCGAATCATTCCGGTTGCCATTTTACAACATTGGACGTTTTCAAAACAATTTCCCCCAAGTGCATCGACGGGTGAGTTGAAACTCATTATAATATGCAAATCCACTCACAGCAGTGGGCATTTACTTCCAAGCCTTCAGTGCGAGACGCCCATAAAAACAGAGCGTTTTTCAGCTAGGCACAAAACTAGAGTAGAAAATAGCCTATTACTTATTCATTTTGATGTTTCTGAATGTAACCAAGCGAACGTCATAAGTTGACCTCAGACAAAAATTTAATTCGAAGTTGTTAGTTTGCTCTGCCCATTTCGCCACAGACATATTTTGTAACCTGGGACAAACAATATCAAGCAGGATTCTCTCAGCTTCTCATATTGAAGGTGGGGGCAATTCCAACTATATTCCCGCAAGTGGTAAATAGGGATTTTATTAACGATAATTTACACTGTGTTATCTAGATCCAGCGCAAGATCCTAGTACAGAAACAACTAGCAAACTCCAAGTAAAAAGCATACATGACTATGCATACATACTTTT